CACGTACGCCAATTCCCTATCCACACAATCCCACCATCCATGCCATTCCTTATTTTTTGATTAGGATCATTTGCGGTCCAATATGGGGATCACTTCCGGTCCGGGATCATTTGCGGTCCAATTTGGGGATCATTTGCGGTCCGGGATCATTTGCGGTCCTGGGATCATTTCCGGTCCTGGGATCATTTGCGGACCCGTACAGATTGCCAGTCCATCCTTGTTTTAGCCTTGCGAGCATAAAAAGGTTAAACACATCTGAAAATTTAAAACAAGGAATTACACGTAAATAAATCATAAATATTTAATTAATTACAGAAAGAAGATGTGTATAGTAAATAAAATTGAATAAGCAATTAATAAATAATTCGTACAAAGTTTTCTTTTTTTCACGGTCGACAATATCAGCATTTGATCAGTTATTGAATTATTGTTTTTCAAAATAATATTTTTTTTCGTGAATTCGTCCGGGGCAAATAATCACTGGGAAATTCATTCTTCTGAGTCAAGGTTGTATGGATACAATAATACATCTTTTAGGGAGTTATCTTAACTTTATACACTTCCAATGGAGTTTTTTAATTTCTTATTTGAAAGAGTTCGGTTTGATTTTAATTTTTTTTTTCCCTTTTCCCACTCGACAATAAGCAAGAAAATCAATAAAACAGACAGGATATTTAATTCAACGCGACTATCGTGTTTCTGCCCAATAAATGGTCATAAGTAAATAAGTAAATAAATGAGAAAAAGCTCGTTTTGTGTAATTAGAGACTTGCCTTGGAGGCGGAGTCCTATTCCTAGTGCCAAGGCCCCGCCGGCTGAGTGGGACAGGCGGCTCTGGGTACGAGAACAAAGATGGTGGCCCACACTCGCGTTTGTTATCGAAAACAGTATTTTTAGGTTTTTTTATTTTTTATTTTTAATTACGTCATGGAATCATTAAGTGATGAAATTTTAGTTAGAATATTTAGCTTCTTAACGGCGCGAGATCTATGTAGGTGCTCTCAAGTAAGTGCAATCTTATAAAGTGGTACTTCATGTAAAAATTATTTTGTGCAAACCGGCCGGTCGACAGTTTATCTCAAAGCTTACCTAATTTTAGGTAAATTATTTACCTTTTCATTTTAGGTGTGTTCTGTTTGGTGTCGGCTAGCAAACGATTTTCATTTGTATCCTTTCAAACAGTGTAAATCACCTCAAGTGTTTCAGCATATCGGTATGGATTGATATGTTTACAAAATTACCAGTTGTTTAAGCTTAAAGTAAGATAGACGTGACGTGGTCCTAGTTGTCTTTTGAGTGCAGTCAAGTGTTTGTTTGCTCCAGCCCCAAGGAGCATAACTTGGCTGCGATTTTTATTCTTTTACCAAATGGAACCAAGGATTTTCCTTAATTCAACAACTACTGGGCTATTTGCAGATGGAGAAAGTTGTTTGTTAAATCTTTTGACAAGTTTATCCTGGATCCTTCCTACTACAACCAGGTGTTCCCAACCCAGTGGAAAGAGTTGTATATATTACGGTCAAACTGGTTTAGTGGACACTGTCATGTTCAAAGTCTTCGTAAGAAAACTGTTACATCTCCACAACAAACTGAACTCACCAAAGTGGTTTGCTTAAAAATATCAAACTGTGGTCGTAGCCTCTTAGCAAGTGTCAATCAAGACTCTAAATTGGTACATTTGTGGAGTTTAATTGAGAAGAAGTCATTTCATGTTGTTTCTTGTGAAAGTGTTATTGGTTGTATAGACTTTGGAACTGAGCGCTCAAGAAATGTTTTGGCAATTGGTCTCCATAGTAACAGGGTAAGGACAATGTTGGCCTATAAAAAGGAGTACTAAATTAATATCCAGCCAGCAGTAAGTTTTGTTTATCACATGATCAGATGCACTCATGACTAATATGATCTATCACTAATGAAAGGGATAGACTCAAAGCTATTAGGAAGTCCAGAAGAACAGTATAAATTCAGATATTTATTATAGTTTAACACTTTGTCTCTTTTGGTACGTAGGTATTTAAGTTTTGTTTATCACATGATCAGATGCACTCATGACTAATATGATCTATCACTAATGAAAGGAATAGACTCAGAGCTATTAGGAAGTCCAGAAGAACAGTATAAATTTAGATATTTATTTTAGTTTAGCACTTTGTCTCTTTTGGTACATAGGTATTTACGTAAACTTGTGCAATTTAAATGCAACTACCATTGTTGGTTGTACCCTGGATTAATATAAAAGTACAAACACATCATTTAAGTAATAGAGGAGTCAATACATACCACCCCTGGTAAGACTAAGGAATATGCCCCATGAGGCAGTTAGTGGCTAAACTGGCTAAGGGTCTCATTAACTCATTAGCAAATAATAATAATACCAATACTAACAATAATTATAATTAAAACCTATATCGTGCAATTTTCCATGACGTACATGATTAAATGCACTTTCAAATTATGTTAATTAATATTCACTTTCTTCTTCTAGTTCTCTCTGTGGGATTTTCAGAGAAAGGTGTTCCTCTTAAGCAAAACTAACTTATCACAAATATCAAGAGAAATCACCGGTCCAAGAAACAACAGTTTACCACCAGATACTGCTGTATGTCGAGTCAATCTTGTGGATAACAAACTTGTTACAGTTACAACACAGTGTGTCATAAAAGTATGGGAATTAGATTTCAGTCAATATGGACAAGTAACTTGTCACTGTTTACACACTCTAACAACATTCAAGCCAAGGTAAATAACTTCATGTTATATGAATACAATGTGTCCACAGTTTCAGATGATATCCACACCCATCCCAAGGAAGGTTATTGGAAATTCCAGAGTGGNAGTTTAACTGAATATGCATGGCCATTGAAGCATTCTGACTTGTTCTGTTTGTATAACTGCTAACTCAATGGCACCAACCCCAACCCTAACCCTGTTAGACTAGAAATGTGCATTTTCGGATTTGCAGGTTACTATAGGTTACTAAATTTATGAATTTGTTTTTGGGGGGGGGGGGGGGGGGGGGGGGAGGGGGGCTGCAAGGGAGGAGGGGAGGGCTCTTTCAAAGTTACTTGTGAGAATTATGTGAAGGGTAATAAGGAAATGATGTGCCAAGCAAAACCAACGTCTTGAAAGTAACTTAATATAAAATAAAAGTTTACAAGCATTATAGTTTTTCCTGCTTGTTTGTGTGACCTGTCAAATACGACACTTAAAGGAGGTCACTCCAAAAAAACGTATTTTTTGTCAACGCTAATAAAAACTTTGCCCTAAGTTTAGCCACTCACTGAAGTTTCACCCTCTAAAGGGCAGGTTTTCGTTATGAAATTTGTCTCCAAAGAAACCAGAATTCAACATTGTTGCCACCATTTTCAATAGTACTTAGCAGCCAGGCTACATTTTCGTGACGTCATTCTACCCATGAGATTTTTCCAAATGGCTTCCGACAAGCCTTTTAACTACCACTCTGGGTTATGGCTGCTCTTGAGCCATATTATTTTGAGCCAAACATGCTCCAAACTCCAAACATAATAGCAGTGAAGATAGTTAAGTGGATAATTGCTTGGAAAAATACATTTTGCTGACCTTGTGAAGGATGTAAAGTCAGTTGAGGTTTTTTCCTGGCAAATTCGAGTGGGATGGAATGATGTCACATGAACACAGCCTGGCTGTCAAGTACAGTTCAAAATGGCAGCCTCCAAAGTTGCTTCTTTCAAGACAAATTTCTTCAGGATAGCAAGCATTTCAGAGGCTGAAACTTCTGGGAGTGTAAAAAACTGAATGTTTACTTGCTATAGGTGAAGACAAAACAGTAAGCTTTATGGAGTGACCTCTTTTAGTTAAATGTGTATCACATACGTGTGCTTTATTGCATAAATGGAGCACTGACAGACCCAATTGCTATTAAATAAATAAAACATATAGGAATAACCAGGATACTAATCTAAAGATGTTTTCTGTTTTGTTTATTGTTAAACATAGGTGTTCTGTATTAGACATCCAACTAAAGAGAGAACCTGATGATGCCTGGTCTGTGTCCATTTCACATGCTGCAGAAGTTTTGGAAAACTGGAATCTTATTGGTTTTCAAGTGAGCAATACATTAGTTATAATAATATTTCATTTTCATGTCCGGCACTTCAAACTGAGAAATCTGGATTACAGCTGCACTGGGTTTGGCATCCACTTGGAAGAAAAGTAACTGTGCTTAGTTTAGGTTTTCCATTTAGGCTACCATTCACTGTAGTATGAGTTCAAATTGACATCCGGCCGGGTAGAATACAGCACTATCTTAGAGAATGGTGCAAACATAATATACACACACTAACCAGATTCAATTTTACGCAGTTTATTGAACACTTATGTTCAGTCTGTCAAATAAGGATGTGCCGTTTATACAGTTTGTGCCACTGTATTTCACCAGGCTTTGAGATTTAAAGGACAGGCACTTCTCGAGACAGGACCAGGATGCCACACTGAAGGTGATATTTGATAATAAAAAACAGAAATGATATAATTTGGATGTATATTTACACAAATTTCATAAAAATGTTCAAATGGACAGAACAATAATTAGATAAAGGTAAGAGAAAATGATAATCCCAATTGTACCAATTTCTAATACAGAATTATGATAAAAAAGCTAAATAAGAAAGGTGTGATTTTAACTTAGTCTTAAGAAACCTACCAAAGGTTGATACAGGTACACATTTTTAAGATTCTGAAGTGAACTGTTATCTGCATTTAGTGGAAATGACCTGATGACAGGTTTTCTATTTCACTGAAGTTTCTTAGTACCATTTTCACCCACAAGCTTCTTTACTCACTGGTCAGGTATTTCTTTATAGATACACTGGAATGTGTTGAAGATGGGGATGAGGATGAAAGTTGTTCCAACACTTTTAAAACATGGATGTTACCACAAAAAGAGGTTTGAATAAATTTTATTGTTTTCTTGTTTTCTAATTACATTTGCTGACCAGTTTGATGTAATGGAGCAAAGTAACAGAATTAACAGTTATTTTACTACAGTAACTGTCACTTACTAGCAGATTCTTTTGTAATGAATGTCTGATAGTTTGATGCAATTAGTACAAACATATAGGTTATTTATCAAAACCTTTTTTAAAGTGTTTATTAATTATTATAATTTATCATTATTGTTGTGGACATTGTTTCAGCAAATGGGCAGCAGAACGTCTGTGTCTTGCCTTTCTATCAGTCCTTGCACAAAGGTAGTCACTTCTGGTCAAAATGATAACACCATTTCACTCTGGGATACTGCTACTCAATGCCGTAAACACATTCTGTTTGGACACACAGGTGCTGACAGGTGTCACATGACTGTTAATAATCATGTTCTACTGTATATACTGGAAGGAACTTGTTGCACTTATGGTATAGCTTGTAGGTTTAAAGCTGAAATTTTGAAGTACATGGCACATGAACCAGTTCAAAGTCAGCATCTCTGTAGGTTAAGATGTAGTTGGATCAGAGATGGTTTTTGGAGCCTGAAAAGAGAAACAAAACCTTGCAAGAAAGAAAGTCTTGACTAATAACAGGGAATAAGTTGTAGTAGAGAGATTAGTTGTTCTCAAGACGCAAGTTAATCAAAAATAAGAAAAACCATTCCAGTTATAAGCAGTTATCAACATATGATTGTTGTGATTTTAGTTTAAAAACTGGTTAAGAAACTTTTGACACAGTGTTGTATGTAGGGACACATAAATGAAGGGGTGCATGTTAAGTCTGCATACAAGCCAAGTGGCCCATCAGGCCGGAGCTTATCCAGGTTTCTGTAGCATGAAGTGACTAGGAGTATTTCTACTCCTCCCTGGATGGGATGATAGTCCATTGCAGGGTTACCTCCAGCATTAAGGTTGCGGTACCCATTTATATACCTGGGTGGAGCTCTAGAGGCACTGTGAGAGTAAAGTGTCTTGCCCAATAACACAACACAATGTCCCTGACCAGGGCTCAAACCCAGACCGCTCGATCCGGAAACTAGTGCACTAACCATGAGACCACTTTGCTGTAGGGACACATATAATACACTTAGAGGTAATAATAATTCAGGCAGTTTTCAAGGTTGCAGCTGGGGTTATTAAGTTGATTATATTAGCAGATGTTCATTACAACTTGAGATGATTGCACACGTTTTCTCACTGGTAGTAAAGGTATATTTTTCTTAACAGGTGCTGTGACATGTACAGATGTAGATATGCACAAGATTGTGAGTGGATCTAATGATAGGACTGTCAAGGTAATGTCCCTTTTCATTTTCAGTGCTTTCTGTAACTGTCAGAGCAAGAGTTACTTGCCCACTTGTAGTCCAGTATATTTTCAGTTTGTTCCTTGAAGTGTTTTTTGGAAGGCTGTAAATTGAAGACAACTAATTGAGAAAGTAATTACATGATAGATAACATCTATTTATAGCTAATAGGGGTAAAAGCTAGAAACGTGCTAGTCAGAGCTAAGAATTAAACCAATAAAAATCCCAAAAATATTCAAACTGTCAAGAATAAATAAATTTTAAAGTGGTTCAACATTTTGATGTCATCGCGGACATCATCGAGAAATTAAAGTCATATAGTCATGATTACACTACATGCTCAAAGTTCACTTCCAAGCCTCGTTCATGCTGAATTTTCTGAACTTTTTGTTACCTTAATGTTCTTTTCATGTAGGTATTCTCTGAAAAAAAATACAATTATTTGCATCTTCAAACTGAGGTTTGGTAGTGATTTTTGCTGGTCTGATGTCATCATGCATTAGGGCTATATTGAGAAAAAGTGTGAATTGTTCACTACTCCAAAGGTGTTGTTTAACAAGTTTGAATGTTTCATATATGAGATGTTTTATACAAAAAAGAGCTGAGCTGTCACTCAATGTGCAGAGTGATTCAATTTGCAAAAACATTCTAAGCTAGTTTTTCTTATACACACCTGAACTAATGCTGATTTTAACAACTTTATTGACCTCCAATTCATGATAATGATGTAGATTACTTATCAAATGCTTGACAGAATAAACAAAAGCTGTCAGTATGTACAAAATGTATAGTCTCTGGCTCTTGAGGTTAATATAATATTGAAATCAGGATACAATAGATTGACTGTTTAAGACTGTAGGGGGTTTTTGCTCCTTATCACATTGGATCTTTCTCCCAGGTGTGGTCCTTAGAGAGCGGTGATTGTCAGTTGACACTTCCTGGTGATCATTCCTCTGGTGTGTCAAGTGTTACTTTCAATGACCAGTGGGTTATTAGTGGTGACAACTCAGGCGAAATCAAGGTATTGTACATATTGCTTAGATGACACACAAAACAGTTAACCACTAGGTTTAGGCTACACATGTCACTGTAAAAGTGTGCAGTGAATTCTTATAGGCCATATTAGTTTGGTGCCGTCAAGAAAGTGCAACATCAAACCTGTCTTTAATACATACTGGTAACCTGAGGTGGGAAACTATTAACAGAGTAGAAACAGATTGACAGATTGACTAACCCCAACCCTATGTGGTTTCTGTGATCTTGGTGTCCGTCTATAATCTTGTCACTTATTGAATGTTTTGTCAATTTGGCTACTGAATAATTGGCAATTAAGGTGGCTTACTGCAGTTTTGATGGATTATAATAGCCCAATTTCTAACTCTTTTGAAAAATGTTCCGAGATGTTTTTCCTTTCTCTATTTAGTGTTTGCTTCAGTCTTATGCCGTTCTATGTGAAATTTGAACAATTAAACATCAACAAATGGCCAAAATGAACAACCAAGTATCTGAGGAGAGACTGGGAACTACCAGATTTAAGCACATTTTTCTTAAAATCTACCTGTATAACCTCACCTCAAAATTTCAGGAATAAGAAATTGGCTCTGATTTAACATTCATGCAAAGTAAAATGAAAATCTGTAAGACAGATTTTTCGCAAAGTAAGAAAATGTGAAATCAAAAATAGCTCAAAATTTGTCCTACAGATTTTTTAAAAATTTTCACTCTAAACCTGATTCGCCCTTACAAATCAACTGTGAAAATTCATCATGGGTTGTACGGTACATATTTGAGCAATCCTCGATCAAAGACTAGCTTTTACAGCCTTAGACAAGAATTGAATTGCGCATGCCCTTTATTTAAGCGGGTGCTCATGTGATCCCATGTATTGCGTGCCAGAAAGCAGGAGTAAATTAGAACTCTTTTACTGGTTGTTTCTCAACTTTTTTTGCCATGATATTTTTTTGGCCCTAGGCTTAAACACATGTTTGAACGGAGTTGGAAACTATTGCTATGTATACCGAAGTGCCTTTAAAGTCCTGAAGTGGTTTTTGTTTCTTCGTAGGGTTACTTGCGTCATTTGTGCACACGCGATTAATACTGACATCTGGCAGGCAATCATAGCACACGCTACTGAGTCTCCGAAAAACTGTAGTAAACCACCTTAAAAGTAATAATTTTGATTTGCGGTCTCAGAACATTTTTATTTTCCATCTATAATTGGCATGACAACTTCTTTCAAATAATTCAGAACTAAAACACTTTTTGTTTTCTTCTTTGCAAAGTTTTCTGATATAAGAAAACCTATCAAGTCCTCTGTAATTAGCTAACCTTGGATGTGATTTAAGGGTGATAAAGCAAACCTCAGTGCTGATAATTGTCACTTCANCTCAAAATTTGTCTTACAGATTTTTTAAAAATTTTGACACTAAACCTGATTCGCCCTTACAAATCAACTGGGAAAATTCATCATGGGTTGTACGGTACATATTTGAGCAATCCTCGATCATAGACTAGCTTTTACAGCCTTAGACAAGAATTGAATTGCGTATGCACTTTATTTAAGTGGGTGCTCATGTGATCCCATGTAATGCGTGCCAGAAAGCAGGAGTAAATTAGAACTCTTTTACCGGTTGTTTATCAACTTTTTTTGCCATGATATTCTTTTGGCCCTAGGCTTAAACACATGTTTGAATGGAGTTGGAAACTATTGCTATGTGTACCGAAGTGCCTTTAAAGTGCTGAAGTGGTTTTCGTTTCTTCGTAGGGTTACTTACGTCATTTGTACACGTGCGATTAATACTGACGTCTGCCAGGCAATCATAGCACACGCTACTGAGTCTCCGAAAAACTGTAGTAAACCACCTTAAAAGTAATAATTTTGATTTGCGGTCTCAGAACATTTTTATTTTCCGTCTATAATTGGCATAACAACTTCTTTCGAATAATTCAGAACTAAATTAGCTAACCTTGGATGTGATTTAAGGGTGATAAAGCAAACCTCAGTGCCTCAGTTTTTAAAGAAAAACAACGTTTTTGTTCTCAATCTGCAGGTGTGGGATTTTGCTGTAAATAGTCTGTCAATATTACAGAGTCTAGACTTACCATCAGGAATGGATCAACAACACAGATTTTGACATGACACTGAATTGTCAATAAAGATAGGAATACATAATAATTGTATTTATTTTATTTGGTCTCTTTCACACTCTTACATGTTGGTACTTTATTGTAGATTAAATTAACATTATTTGCATTTTTTTAAGATTGCTTTTAGCCAAAAAAACATGTTGTTGATAGTATAACACACATGTTTATAGAATTCCAGATTTTTAGCAAAATAATGCTGTCAATTCTTTGCCCCAAAGGTATAATAATTATCTTGTACACTTTATTGTCAAGGGTTATGATGTTTTTTGTTGTTCTTGTAAATGTTTGTTTTCTTCCTTTCCACTCATCTATTGGGGAAACATTAATTTATCATCAGAAAAGGGTATTGAGCAACAGGTCACATTTTCTGAGGAGGTGAATAGGTGAAATTACACCTTTCTATACACATTTGTGATTAAGGGTACTACCCATTTTCAAGTTCTTTTTGTTGCAGCCTTTAATGATATTTATTCCTAGTGCTATTTCCTTATGCACTGTTTTTACATTATCAGTTTATTAAACTTGTTTTTATCTCCAACATCTGATACATTGAATGCTGTGTTTTCTCCAAAAGTCCCAAATTAGGGAGCTTAAGCGACCAGAACATCACCAAACAAAAGGTTAAATGAGGAAAACAATAGCTGTGTTCGTGCATTGTATAACCTTTGTACATTTCTTTGCTGTCCTCTGCAAAAGAAGAAATTCAACGTGAAATGACTAAGTTCTGTGTAGCCTGAGTTAAACAAACGACCAGGGCTAATTTTTTGTATTTCCATTTGGAATTGAACATTGTTGGTGCATATTTAGCTTGAGCATGTTTTAGAGCCGTTGGTGTACTGAACAGGTCTAGACATTTGCAAATTTCGCTGGTAAAGCATACCCATATATTCATTTTTTACTGGGTGTCATCCTCAGTGTAGCCGTCATTGTTGCTTAAGCTTCCTATTGTGTTGTGACAACATTGTAACTATTGCTACCAAGATGTAATGGCAGATCCAGAGAAATTCAATTGTGGGGAGGGAGGGAAGGGAAAGAACCTTGAGCCATATCTTGTTGGAAAGAGACTGGAGAAGGAAAGGAGGAACCTTGTTTTTTAAGGTGGTGGTTGTGCAAAATACAAAATAAGGTGGCACCCTAGCCCATTGCTTCGATCCACTACCAACTTTTACCTTGCTTAGATTGATAAAAGATGAGATGGATATTTGTAGTCAAATATCTAAAATCTAAAACATGGAAATGTGTCCCTGTATGCCAATCTCTTTCCTCATTTATTTATGCTGCCTTGTAGATTTAGGAAGAGTCTTGGGCATAACCTACCCTGCAACACTTTGCATTTTAGTGGCATAATTTTCATGCATTGCACTTCAAATGAAGACATTCGTTACTCGCATCATCCTCATTGAAGTGATATGGGGGCACAACATTAGTCTCCACATCTTATTTTGTAATATATTATGGGAAGAAAAGGTGGATAGAATTACTAGATGAAAAATGAGACATCTTCTAAAATCCACACATTTTATTCAGATTCAATATTCTTCACACAATTAAATATGCTCTATATATCTTTTAACTTTACAAAGCAGATTCATGTTGACAGCTGTATTTTGAGGCCATCAATATTCTTAAGAGAAAGGATTGCTTAATAAAATATGTCTGTAAAGCATATGCTGCCAATAAACTATTTTAACACAAGTTTTTCTTTTGTTTAATTCATATTTAAATTGCCGAATGTAAGGACCTCACTGACTAATGAAAACTGACGTTAATTACTTTTTAGGGAGTGACACAAGTTGAGCAAAATCCTGGAAAAACACAGCTGTTCCGTCTTGCAAACTTCAAAATGAACTAGCGTGCAAGAAGCCAGAGAAGTCTTTCTCTGTCAATCTGTTTCAAGCTTCAGTTTATTCTAAAAACTGTTATCTAAGTTCAATAATTCCCACTCTTTTCTGATAGTTTTGAATAATGTACAATTTAACAAAATATTACAATGTATGTACTTGTATATTAATGCCATATTCTGATATAACCATGATCCATCAAAAATGTTCTTTGCTTCTGTCACCATTTAATATATAGCACCTTTATATATATTAAATTAATTAAACTCACTTATAGTACACTTATTGGGTGTATTACCCTGCACATAATTTGTATGTAGCAAACTTCACAAAAAATACTGCTTTGAAAGCTAGCATCATAATTTAAAACATTAATTATTGGAACTTTATGTACAAATTTTCTCTTTTAGAGAATGCCTGTTAAAAAATATAAACCCATTGAGTTAAGCTTGGAGATACTGCGAGTACAAATTATGTTAGTATGTTGGCACATGTTTTTGTAAAGTGTGCAGTCAAACAAGTTATCAGAGTTCGATTAATTTTACTGATGGTTCATCACTACTTGGAATTTATTTTGATTCTAAATGATTCCATCAGTCAATGAAAGCTGTCTTCCTGTAAGTCCCATCATCACCACTCAGCAAAGATCATCCTAGGAGAGTTTAGAGTTAAGGCAGCAAATTTTTCAAGGACAGTCAGGCCCTTTTCTCTGAAATTAAACTGGTTTGGTTTGGTATGTGCCAGTGTCAGCAGTGCTCATCCTTTAGGTGACTCCCAACAGCTTCCTACATAATGGCCATTAATCAAACTTAATGAGAAATTAACTCCCTGAGAGTGTCTTGTAAACATTACCAAATGTCATTGTTGTTCCCATCCAACTCAAAACAGTCTATAAAGTCGTTGTCTGTCTCTGCCCAGGGATGCTCTTCCTCATACATCAAGGGAGGAGAGGGTGGCATGTTAAATACAGACTGTGCAGCATCAGTTAATGTGGTTGGTGAGGGTGTTGCCAAGTTTTCACGAGGTGGTAGTAATCCTATCCCTCTGATTGTCAAGTCTAGGTTGGGTTCAACTTGAAATGTATCGCCATCTGTGCTATCATGTGATGGAGTTGGACTCAAGCAAACAGGTGTGGTAAATCCAGAGAGGCTTGTCACAGGAATTGAGCTATCAAATGAAATTCCATGGGCATCTGCAATCTCTCGTATACTTTCATCTATTTCATCATTTGTCAACACTGTCATCCAACTGAATTCTTCCTTTATACCACCAGAAAATGGAGCAATTTCTTCCTCCATGAAAAGTTCATTATCATCGTCATCCTGCCTTTCAATCTTAATTTTAACAGGTTTAAACTTCTTTTTTGCCCATGGTTCATCATCTTGATCTTGTTTAGAGAGTGAATTTTTAAGACTATCTGATGATCTCTTGGATGTTGCCTTTTTACAAGGTTTCAAAGAACTTTTCTTGGATGGCTTTTGTGTGTTTACACCTCTCCTCCTTTTAAACACACCATCTACAAACATGTCAGCATATGCAGGGTCTATTTTCCAAAAACCTCCTTTCCCAGGCTCGTTCTTGTTTCTGGCCACCTTCACAAAGCACTTGTTCAAAGACAAGTTGTGGCGGATTGAATTCTGAAAAGGCAACAAAAAGAATTCAAAATGAAATGAGATTGTAACTTTCTAACCAAATGTACTTAGTTTGTGATTCTTTGCAAGTCATCATTCAGACAGAGAGAGAGAGTAGTCTTCGAGAGCATCCTGTTTTTTCAGCTCTTGTTCGTGAAATAAGAGTGGATGCTCTCACAGGCTAGAAAGAGGATACTTTCTTTTTATCCATCAAATTTTGATTCACAACCAGCCATACCACTCTTTTACAAGCCATGTAATCTGCAGCTTCTAAAATATTGTTAATTTTATTTTTTAAAACATATTTCTGAGACTGATGAGAACAATTTTGGCGACACTTTTAAAAGAGAGAGTGTTGTTATTACTTACCAGGTCAATGTAATATTTCTTCTGGGAACATATACAGTTTTTCCTTAAAACTATTTGTAACTTATATGATTTATAATGACAGAGTCCTAGACATCTAATAACTCTGTCATATTTTGACTTAATTCTGACAAGAACAACATGAATGAGAAGACATATTTGGTTGTCCAGTTATTCAATACATGCAAATGTTATTTTAGTTTTACGAGATTTGAAATGAAAAACAAAAAACAAGAACCTTTTATGATTGAGCAAATTATACAGAGATCATGTTTTATGTTCTGCAAAAGATCTGTAAATGGTAATTGATTTGACACATGCAGGAGTGGGTATGCTGAGGAGGATTAGATTATTAATAATGACCCATGAACGTCTTGAAGTATGCATAGCTTTTGCTCAACATACCATGATATTCCACAAGTTTGTCAACTTCTTTATTATGTTAATGAACTTACTTTATAAATTTCAAAGCTTAAAAACGAACAAGGTATTGATTTCCTAATTTTGAAGGAGGGGCTTTAAATAACGATTGGATATATTGGTCCTACCGAGGTAAGAAAGTGCAAATTACTACATTGAATGTTCCATATCCTTTTATAAAGGTCATTCTGCATGCAGTCCTTCAGGCTACAATTATCACCCTTTATGAAAACAATTTTAAGGACAAATGTCATCATTGGAGAATAGTCTTTTGCAGAGATCAGTGAGAATAAGAAAACGATAAGTAGGTTAAGAATTGAACATCTGGGAATTTGAAAATAGTTTTCAGACTGGAAAAAAGTCGGTAGATAACAGTTCGAACCAGTGATCTACAAAATTATGCTTTGGATATCACGTCTATTAATAATTGAAAACTTTATTTTTAGAATCAGAAAACTATGTAAAGGTTCACTTGGGTCTGCTTTTTCATGGAATACAACCAATACATTGTGAACTAGATATTCACCACCCAAGGAGTATAGATTGTTTTTTCAAACGATTATATAAACTTCCATTCAGTTCAACCAACATGCGGAAAATTCCATGCTAATACCCAGTAATACCCCAGTGAGATAATGTAAAAAGTACATGGAAACTCATTAAATTTGAATGGAAACTTCCCTTGCACCAAAACATGATTTTTTGGGGAAAATATTCGCTGAATCTCATGGTTTAAAAGTGAGACCGTGTTTTTCGACAAAATAAATTTTTCTTCTGATAACTTGAAGTCATGAGCCGCAGCAATGACGTTAAGTGTTTTAGTCACTAAATGGTTTCGAGCCAAGCGGAAAATAGAAATCCACCCACGACATTGAATATATTGGTTGATATTAAAAAGTAGAAAGAAAACAGAGAAAACGTTTAATAACCGTATTGACGAACTTTACTCTTGAAAAGTTTGACTACCGTACGAAGCAATTCATTTATCACTGTCAACGTTCGAAAAGTAGATTGTGAATCGGAAGATGTCGTCAGTATTTTTAGACAAAAAAAGAGCGGCTTGAATTTAATTTCATACCTAGCCTAAAATGTCCTATGTGTTTTCTTTACTGTAAATTTCGCAAAGTTGCTCTAAAAATCTTATCATACAATTTTAAAACAAACTATTTTAATATTCCATTTCGTTATTCTCAAGTAATTAAATACTTCGGAACAAAAGATCTATGACCTGCCTCAGTCTTCTGAATTATCTTGCTGCGAAGCGGAAATTTTCTCTGTCCGGCTTAATAAATATTCCAGAGACAACCCCGCAAGTGAAGGTTCGTCTTCGAAGATTAAGGGAAAAAGCTTCACGGAATAATCGCATCATCTTGGGCTTGATAATGAGAACATGAATATGTGATAGCGATCGATATTAGTAATCTTCACTTGCCGTTTCTTGCTTCCTAACTAGGAAGCCGGCAAAACTTTTCTTTCGTAGGTCTGCAACACCAACAGTTATTTAAGCATTAAAAGAATGAACTCATTTACCTGCCATGTTGGATCCGCAACTCGATAATACATGAAGTTTTCTTTGATCCACTTGTAAATTGCGCTGAGTGTAATCTTCGTCTTGTTGGTTTCTCTCATGGCCATACAAATTAATGTCGCGTAAGAATATGGCGGTTTGTGGTTGGCATCGTTTTTGTAATCAATGTTTGGCTCTTTACAGTGGACGTCTTTAAATCCATCGCTAGTGTCACTGCGATCGTCGGAGTCGCATGAATTCGTCGATGGGCTCGGTGAAGGAGCTATAGAAGTAGTCGAGGGTGCGATGTCCTGTATGCTAATGCTATGCAGCCATTGAAGATTTGTTAAACTATCGTCTAACGAAGCTTGTTCTTCCTCTTGGTCTGCAGGGTTCTGGGCCTTCCAGTTTGCTGCAAATCTTTCTGCATATGATTGCACTGCAACTGGCATCTTGTTGTTCATAATAACCCGTCGCCGACTAACTTTGATGAATTATTTTAAGCAGCTGTCCCGTTTTAGATCTTCTCTCGACCCCTAGATCAAGTCCAAATACTGCCGTAGTCGACGTTCTCGATGGTGTATTTCCTGTGTGCGTTGATCAACTTGTCACTGGTTATGGTTTTTCCAGTTGATTTACCAAGGCAGGTTGAGGCGTCCCTTTGACGCACGTACGAGTGTCAGAGCTGTAAACGCTNTTACTCGCATCATCCTCATTGAAGTGATATGGGGGCACAACATTAGTCTCCACATCTTATTTTGTAATATATTATGGGAAGAAAAGGTGGATAGAATTACTAGATGAAAAATGAGACATCTTCTAAAATCCACACATTTTATTCAGATTCAATATTCTTCACACAATTAAATATGCTCTATATATCTTTTAACTTTACAAAGCAGATTCATGTTGACAGCTGTATTTTGAGGCCATCAATATTCTTAAGAGAAAGGATTGCTTAATAAAATATGTCTGTAAAGCATATGCTGCCAATAAACTATTTTAACACAAGTTTTTCTTTTGTTTAATTCATATTTAAATTGCCGAATGTAAGGACCTCACTGACTAATGAAAACTGACGTTAATTACTTTTTAGGGAGTGACACAAGTTGAGCAAAATCCTGGAAAAACACAGCTGTTCCGTCTTGCAAACTTCAAAATGAACTAGCGTGCAAGAAGCCAGAGAAGTCTTTCTCTGTCAATCTGTTTCAAGCTTCAGTTTATTCTAAAAACTGTTATCTAAGTTCAATAATTCCCACTCTTTTCTGATAGTTTTGAATAATGTACAATTTAACAAAATATTACAATGTATGTACTTGTATATTAATGCCATATTCTGATATAACCATGATCCATCAAAAATGTTCTTTGCTTCTGTCACCATTTAATATATAGCACCTTTATATATATTAAATTAATTAAACTCACTTATAGTACACTTATTGGGTGTATTACCCTGCACATAATTTGTATGTAGCAAACTTCACAAAAAATACTGCTTTGAAAGCTAGCATCATAATTTAAAACATTAATTATTGGAACTTTATGTACAAATTTTCTCTTTTAGAGAATGCCTGTTAAAAAATATAAACCCATTGAGTTAAGCTTGGAGATACTGCGAGTACAAATTATGTTAGTATGTTGGCACATGTTTTTGTAAAGTGTGCAGTCAAACAAGTTATCAGAGTTCGATTAATTTTACTGATGGTTCATCACTACTTGGAATTTATTTTGATTCTAAATGATTCCATCAGTCAATGAAAGCTGTCTTCCTGTAAGTCCCATCATCACCACTCAGCAAAGATCATCCTAGGAGAGTTTAGAGTTAAGGCAGCAAATTTTTCAAGGACAGTCAGGCCCTTTTCTCTGAAATTAAACTGGTTTGGTTTGGTATGTGCCAGTGTCAGCAGTGCTCATCCTTTAGGTGACTCCCAACAGCTTCCTACATAATGGCCATTAATCAAACTTAATGAGAAATTAACTCCCTGAGAGTGTCTTGTAAACATTACCAAATGTCATTGTTGTTCCCATCCAACTCAAAACAGTCTATAAAGTCGTTGTCTGTCTCTGCCCAGGGATGCTCTTCCTCATACATCAAGGGAGGAGAGGGTGGCATGTTAAATACAGACTGTGCAGCATCAGTTAATGTGGTTGGTGAGGGTGTTGCCAAGTTTTCACGAGGTGGTAGTAATCCTATCCCTCTGATTGTCAAGTCTAGGTTGGGTTCAACTTGAAATGTATCGCCATCTGTGCTATCATGTGATGGAGTTGGACTCAAGCAAACAGGTGTGGTAAATCCAGAGAGGCTTGTCACAGGAATTGAGCTATCAAATGAAATTCCATGGGCATCTGCAATCTCTCGTATACTTTCATCTATTTCATCATTTGTCAACACTGTCATCCAACTGAATTCTTCCTTTATACCACCAGAAAATGGAGCAATTTCTTCCTCCATGAAAAGTTCATTATCATCGTCATCCTGCCTTTCAATCTTAATTTTAACAGGTTTAAACTTCTTTTTTGCCCATGGTTCATCATCTTGATCTTGTTTAGAGAGTGAATTTTTAAGACTATCTGATGATCTCTTGGATGTTGCCTTTTTACAAGGTTTCAAAGAACTTTTCTTGGATGGCTTTTGTGTGTTTACACCTCTCCTCCTTTTAAACACACCATCTACAAACATGTCAGCATATGCAGGGTCTATTTTCCAAAAACCTCCTTTCCCAGGCTCGTTCTTGTTTCTGGCCACCTTCACAAAGCACTTGTTCAAAGACAAGTTGTGGCGGATTGAATTCTGAAAAGGCAACAAAAAGAATTCAAAATGAAATGAGATTGTAACTTTCTAACCAAATGTACTTAGTTTGTGATTCTTTGCAAGTCATCATTCAGACAGAGAGAGAGAGTAGTCTTCGAGAGCATCCTGTTTTTTCAGCTCTTGTTCGTGAAATAAGAGTGGATGCTCTCACAGGCTAGAAAGAGGATACTTTCTTTTTATCCATCAAATTTTGATTCACAACCAGCCATACCACTCTTTTACAAGCCATGTAATCTGCAGCTTCTAAAATATTGTTAATTTTATTTTTTAAAACATATTTCTGAGACTGATGAGAACAATTTTGGCGACACTTTTAAAAGAGAGAGTGTTGTTATTACTTACCAGGTCAATGTAATATTTCTTCTGGGAACATATACAGTTTTTCCTTAAAACTATTTGTAACTTATATGATTTATAATGACAGAGTCCTAGACATCTAATAACTCTGTCATATTTTGACTTAATTCTGACAAGAACAACATGAATGAGAAGACATATTTGGTTGTCCAGTTATTCAATACATGCAAATGTTATTTTAGTTTTACGAGATTTGAAATGAAAAACAAAAAACAAGAACCTTTTATGATTGAGCAAATTATACAGAGATCATGTTTTATGTTCTGCAAAAGATCTGTAAATGGTAATTGATTTGACACATGCAGGAGTGGGTATGCTGAGGAGGATTAGATTATTAATAATGACCCATGAACGTCTTGAAGTATGCATAGCTTTTGCTCAACATACCATGATATTCCACAAGTTTGTCAACTTCTTTATTATGTTAATGAACTTACTTTATAAATTTCAAAGCTTAAAAACGAACAAGGTATTGATTTCCTAATTTTGAAGGAGGGGCTTTAAATAACGATTGGATATATTGGTCCTACCGAGGTAAGAAAGTGCAAATTACTACATTGAATGTTCCATATCCTTTTATAAAGGTCATTCTGCATGCAGTCCTTCAGGCTACAATTATCACCCTTTATGAAAACAATTTTAAGGACAAATGTCATCATTGGAGAATAGTCTTTTGCAGAGATCAGTGAGAATAAGAAAACGATAAGTAGGTTAAGAATTGAACATCTGGGAATTTGAAAATAGTTTTCAGACTGGAAAAAAGTCGGTAGATAACAGTTCGAACCAGTGATCTACAAAATTATGCTTTGGATATCACGTCTATTAATAATTGAAAACTTTATTTTTAGAATCAGAAAACTATGTAAAGGTTCACTTGGGTCTGCTTTTTCATGGAATACAACCAATACATTGTGAACTAGATATTCACCACCCAAGGAGTATAGATTGTTTTTTCAAACGATTATATAAACTTCCATTCAGTTCAACCAACATGCGGAAAATTCCATGCTAATACCCAGTAATACCCCAGTGAGATAATGTAAAAAGTACATGGAAACTCATTAAATTTGAATGGAAACTTCCCTTGCACCAAAACATGATTTTTTGGGGAAAATATTCGCTGAATCTCATGGTTTAAAAGTGAGACCGTGTTTTTCGACAAAATAAATTTTTCTTCTGATAACTTGAAGTCATGAGCCGCAGCAATGACGTTAAGTGTTTTAGTCACTAAATGGTTTCGAGCCAAGCGGAAAATAGAAATCCACCCACGACATTGAATATATTGGTTGATATTAAAAAGTAGAAAGAAAACAGAGAAAACGTTTAATAACCGTATTGACGAACTTTACTCTTGAAAAGTTTGACTACCGTACGAAGCAATTCATTTATCACTGTCAACGTTCGAAAAGTAGATTGTGAATCGGAAGATGTCGTCAGTATTTTTAGACAAAAAAAGAGCGGCTTGAATTTAATTTCATACCTAGCCTAAAATGTCCTATGTGTTTTCTTTACTGTAAATTTCGCAAAGTTGCTCTAAAAATCTTATCATACAATTTTAAAACAAACTATTTTAATATTCCATTTCGTTATTCTCAAGTAATTAAATACTTCGGAACAAAAGATCTATGACCTGCCTCAGTCTTCTGAATTATCTTGCTGCGAAGCGGAAATTTTCTCTGTCCGGCTTAATAAATATTCCAGAGACAACCCCGCAAGTGAAGGTTCGTCTTCGAAGATTAAGGGAAAAAGCTTCACGGAATAATCGCATCATCTTGGGCTTGATAATGAGAACATGAATATGTGATAGCGATCGATATTAGTAATCTTCACTTGCCGTTTCTTGCTTCCTAACTAGGAAGCCGGCAAAACTTTTCTTTCGTAGGTCTGCAACACCAACAGTTATTTAAGCATTAAAAGAATGAACTCATTTACCTGCCATGTTGGATCCGCAACTCGATAATACATGAAGTTTTCTTTGATCCACTTGTAAATTGCGCTGAGTGTAATCTTCGTCTTGTTGGTTTCTCTCATGGCCATACAAATTAATGTCGCGTAAGAATATGGCGGTTTGTGGTTGGCATCGTTTTTGTAATCAATGTTTGGCTCTTTACAGTGGACGTCTTTAAATCCATCGCTAGTGTCACTGCGATCGTCGGAGTCGCATGAATTCGTCGATGGGCTCGGTGAAGGAGCTATAGAAGTAGTCGAGGGTGCGATGTCCTGTATGCTAATGCTATGCAGCCATTGAAGATTTGTTAAACTATCGTCTAACGAAGCTTGTTCTTCCTCTTGGTCTGCAGGGTTCTGGGCCTTCCAGTTTGCTGCAAATCTTTCTGCATATGATTGCACTGCAACTGGCATCTTGTTGTTCATAATAACCCGTCGCCGACTAACTTTGATGAATTATTTTAAGCAGCTGTCCCGTTTTAGATCTTCTCTCGACCCCTAGATCAAGTCCAAATACTGCCGTAGTCGACGTTCTCGATGGTGTATTTCCTGTGTGCGTTGATCAACTTGTCACTGGTTATGGTTTTTCCAGTTGATTTACCAAGGCAGGTTGAGGCGTCCCTTTGACGCACGTACGAGTGTCAGAGCTGTAAACGCTCGGAAATTGTAGCAATTTAATTACAAACTTTTCGAATGCAAAGTGGCTTCGTCGATTGGCAGCAATATTCACCAGCTCTAAATCTGCGAGGATGATAAAGCCAGAGAAGTGTCGTACTTCTTGATGGATTCCGATTAGAAACAGCAAAAAAATATAAACCGAGATGTTTAAAGCGCTCTATTGACGGAGACAATTTCAGCAGGCAGGGAATGGACACTTTAGATCGGTGTGAAACATTTCCGTGTCATCAGTGCAGGATATGAAGAAGACGGTACTCGATTTTAAAAAAAATAACCAACAATTTGTTCCTTTCCCACTTAGCAGGTAGAAGCAAACGCTCGTTGCAAGCAAGCGTGAGTAAATGTAATGAATGAGCATCGTCGCCGGCTATTATTCTTGCCTACCTGAATTAATCAAAGTAACAAAGCGCTATCAACAACTTTTTGTGATTTGATTGGACATTGAGTTGCTATGGATTAATCTCGTTATCTGCAGACGCCAAATGCAAGATTTTGATTGGCTCAAGGTTGCTATGATATCGCAGTTGTTTATGTCGTCCATCATCCAGCGCGTGCGTGAAATCGAGCTCAACCGGAAATGGTTACGAGCTTATTTGAGAAAACAATCACTTAGCAACGGGTCCCATTTCTCTTCCGCTGAAACAAAATGTGTAGGAAAAACTTGGACCTAGAGCATTTCAGTGAAGATTTCACTGTATTAGGGACGTGCTTAGCAGTACAAAAGCGTAGGAAATGGAATAAACTACTGACGTAATTTAACCGCAGAAGGTTAAGTGTTTCCTGCGCGCTCTATTGAGTTGGAAAATTTCGCAATGCCTTGTCTGCCTCATAGTTCATCTATTTTCTTTTCCCTGTGATTAAGATGTGACTTTAAGGCCGTAGATAAGGTTCAAAATGATCTTTTTCGTTGTGTTTTGGTGTTTAGATCAAATTATGAATGTTAAACAAACACAGACTTCAGAAGGATCAAGCAGAAGAACACAAATGACATCCGGTTTTCATTAGCATGTTTAACAAAGATTGTCGTGACCTTTCGTAGAATTTTCATTCCACCAAGGTCTCTATGACCACGTGCATGATTCAGCACAGGAAGACAAAACAAAACTTTATCTCTAAATGTAAAACTTATAAAGCAAAGCAAAGCACTGTAATTTCTTTACATGACTTATGCGTCAATCTATCTTTCAATTGACTAGGAAAATTACATGAGTACCGCAAGATTTGTTCAAGCATACATTTTTGTGGACTGGGAAGTTGTGTGGCTTTTGATATTGACAAAGTTATGTGCAGAATTTTATTTGAGGAATATTGACTTTTCAGTGCAATTTTTAACGGTGCTTTTTAACAACGGAAATATCGCTGTACGTTAGGCAGGTGCTAACATGCATGCATACATGCATGCACAAGTATTGCGCAAACTGGCTTTCTAACTGTCAAAGATATTCAAAGCAAACGATAAACCACGTTATTAAATCTGCATAGTGATTGACAGTTAGCTTCCTTGTTGCTGTCCAGCAACCCAAAATATGGGATATTAAATTTGTTTTTTGGTTATACTCTTTATATTGAGGTCACTTTCAGGCATTCTGTACCGGCGAAGGGGGAGGGGGGTACTCCCTTACCTGCATATGAGCTATATAGGTATGTACGGCCCCAAAGCGTATGGTTTTTCAGCCGTTTTGGTCATAAATAGGGTATCGAGTTTGGCCATTTTGGTAATAAATAGGGTATGGTTTTTGCGTTCTAGTCTTCATATGGGTATGTTTTCAAGAAGAAACCACTTTTTTATCATTATCGGAAAAAAAAACCAACAACAAAAGCCCTTCACAAATTATGCTTACGGCAATTTAGCATTGACCTGAACTACGGAACTAATTACAAGGCAGGTCTGAACCAGGGTTTGATATAAGGGTGATGTCATAAAAGGGCTTTCGAATTTTTGGCCAGGTCAGAAATAGGGTAGGGAAAATAGCAGATTTTGGTCATAAATAGGGTAAGGGTTTCGGGAAGCGAGCCGCACACCCCCACCCAAATTTTCTAGGAGTACCCCTCCCCCGGAATCCTGTAGTAGCCTGTGTAGCTGATTTCGGTGGGGTGCTAGTTCCGCACCACAAAACCCCAACTCCAAAACCTCACCGAAACAGCCAGCTAGTTTACAACTTGCCATGTTTTTCATCCTGGTTATAATTAATTGAAAATGACATGTTCCCTTTCTTCTTTTTTAATAAGAGTTATAACGCAATTACAGTCAGTCCTGCTGTTCTGTTGGCGCGGAATGAAATTTAAAGGAAGAACTAGAAAATAAAATTGAAGTTTCCTCCAAATTTAAGTCCAGTTTTTACAACAAGTATCATATCAGTCAGGCGTTATTCTTTTAATTAATTTAAGATAAGATTGAAAAGCTCATAAAGATAGAAGCGATAGGAAGCAGATGCTTGAACCACCTGCAGGTGGCTACTTATAAAAATGTTAATGCCATAAGCAATAAATATTCCCGTATATTTGTGTTCAAAGTCTTTCCGCGCCGTTTTTACAAATATCTGTCACTATTGGGTAAATTCGTTAAAATGTATTCGGCATGCCTGACTCCGATGTATTAAATCAGGGAGTTGCCTAAGTAAAAATGAGAGTTGATGTAAAAATGAAATAACAGACATTCAACGCCGCTCTTTTCTATCTTTCATTCACTTTGTTAGCTTTTGTTCGTTCATGATAAGCTGATTGGAAGCGGTGCTGGCGATATTAAACTTCTATTCTGCAAAAGAATAGTAACTGTAACTGGTTTTCGTGGTCGAGCGGACAGCCAAGTGTCAGTTTACAATGAAAACGATTTTAAGTAAGAAGAGAGGCGCCAGACAGTAAATATTGGCGGCTTAATGATCTATTTTCCCCGCACTGATCTATTTTCCTATCCGACTGAAAAGAAATATCCGTTTTGTTCAAAAACAAGTTTAGTGTTTACCTTCCCTTTCATGTATTTTCGGCGGATCAGAAGATATTAAGGCAAAAGAAAAATATTTAAATGAATATATCGAGCAGAATAGCAGTTCGTTTTTGCCACTTTAGTCGGGCTATTTATATATACACTAAATACCCAAAAAGCAGACTTTTCAAAACAAACTATTTAATAAGATCTAATTTAATATCTAAAATTCCATATCAACCAATGTATATTCCAGCGAAGATTAGTTTCATTTCCCATGCATTGCAGTACTTCGTTCCAGTACTGAGTATCCTTACAACACAATAGTAAGATAGGAGGTTTACTGAGTTTTTGTTATTGGTTGTCGTCTCTTCTTTTAAAGGACGGACCATAATTGTTTTCGGTGGTGGGAGAATGGGGGNGCAAAGAAGCTCATGCAGGGTATTTCGTGTGAGGAGAATCCGCTGAGTAGCGAAAGTGTAGGCGTAAGACAACGTGGAAGTTCGCCGCCACTACTGAGTGGCGTCTGGGAGGTGGGGACTGGGCAAATATCGAAAACATATTCCTGCACGGCAAAAAAGGCTGAAAAAATATCGTGCAAGGGAAGCCATGGAAAAAAAAAAAAAAAAAATCAAGCAAGTGCTTTCTACTATCTTTATTTTGATTTTTGATGTTAGAAAAAAAAAAACATTCTTGCCCAGATTATTGTCCACCCAAAAGAATCATGCTCAACCTAACGGTGAAAGAAAAATTTCATGCCTCAGAAAATTCCCCCTCCCCGCCCCCCTAAAAATATAATGGTCCGTCCTCTACTAGTTCCCCTGAAATACAGCATGGCCTGAGTTGTCCTTAGATGATTGGTATTTTTTTTGAAAAGACGGGGTTTTTCGGGTAAATTTAATAGATGTGTTATATAACGTCTAGTTCCATTCATACATGATTCCGTGCATTTGTAATCTTTCGCTAGAACTGTGCAGATCATGCGTGCAAATGAGTGCGTGACCAGTGCAGAGATGACTGCTTGCACATGATTTCGTGCACGTGTTTGCTAATAAGTATCTATCTAATTAAAAAATGTTTGTTTACCCGTGAATTATGATGAGAACCTACAATTATATTCAACATTGTATTTGAATAACTTGCATCCAGTATTTTGTCATGGTCGGTTCCGGAATCAGAGGTAAATTTGTCTTTGATAAAGGCTTTCCAAGCTGACGTATCAAATTAAAGACAAAGGGATTTTACGCGACGTGGTATTAAATTAAATGCTTTGAGAATAAAATTGATTGCCACGTTGTCCTCATCATTGATTGCTTGTTTCTTAGGGCGTTTAGGAAGGATTTCGGCGAGCTACAATCTTGGTCAGAATAAAATAAGAAATAAAACCANGGGTGGTCTTAATTTTTCATTTAATTGTCCAAGGAAAGGTTTCAACGAGACAAGACAAAGGGGGCCGGTAATTAGGAACTAATTTGTGAACGCATTTATCGGTCACGCGCATCAGAACGCCGATAACCTAAGTTTAGCTACTACAAGAAGAGTATATTTTGGTTATAATGAATAGATAAAAACCATTCTAGCCTCAACTTATCGATCCAAAGCAGTACTGGGAATAATAACGAATCATATTAGTGCTCGAAAAGCTCAGTACAAACATGACAAACATGTCATGTCATGGAGAAAAAGAATACCTTGCGAAGACTGGACTTCAATCCAAATTCTAAAGACTCAGGAGCTGATCGGTAAAACTGTAGAGTCTATAAATAGTCGTGTCACTGACATAAAACGAAATAATGGCGAAAGACTGAAGAACTAATAAAAGTAACCGTTCTCTGTGGACAATTGTACTATGATAAAACGATGCTTACACGTTTTAGTGACGGTTTACGACATATTTCCCACGATTTATGGTTGGTTTATTTGACGGTTTAAAACGGGTTTTGACAATTTTGGCGAACAATGAAGTAAAAACTGAACTATGCCGATTATTTTACTGCCCTGCTACAAAACCGCGCTAAACCATAAACAATTGTCAATAAAACCTTGTAAATCGTTGTGTTTTATTTCAACGTAGATAAAAATCGGGCAAGACTCTTTTTTTGTAAAGAAAACTATTGTGCAGAAAGAAAATACTTCAATAAACAAATATTCAAGATAAAGAGCCTGAAAAGTTAAGGCTTTTTAAAAATAAAAGACTGAAAATGTGAAGCCCAAGTTGCGCGGTAGCGTATAGGGTAAGTCGCAGGTGAGGGTAACGCGCATGAACTCTCTCGAGTTCGAGGCCGTTCTCCTCTTCTTTTTTCCTTTTTTTTCCCTCTCTGTGGGTAAGGTCAAATATTTTTTTGGCGTTGAATCTGCTGGGAAAGAATGCCAGTGCACTGCCAGTCACTCTGTCTTTTTCTCATCAATGAATCCTCCCTCCACGTACACCACATATTACCACCTCGTCAGTGGTGCAGAAAAAAAAAAAAAAATTCAACGCTTCAAGGTACCGATAAAGTACTTAGAAAAGGAAAGAAAGCGACGTTTTCAATTTTCATATCAATAAAGTACATGACACGCCAAAAATAAACCATGTTTTGATTTTACTTCCGCATGATTATGTTTGAATCGCGTACAGAGTTCACGAGATTTTATTTCGGCTAACGTTCTTTTCCCTTAGTTATCGAACGTGCGACAACAACTCAGATGTGACCTGCATAGACCATATAGCTTCTTGTAATACCAGTGTGGACCTCGGACAATCTTGGTCAGAGTAATATGAGAAATAAAAGCACCGAATCAGTGATGAACTGGCGCTAAACGCAAGGAGTGGTCTTAATTTTTCATTTTTAAATGAAAAACCTTGGACAATTAAAAAATTGTCCAAGATTGTAGCTCTATT